ATGCACTGTACTAAATGTAGTTTTGTGGATTTACATTTACTATGTTAAGTCTTCCCCTGAGTCCAGGTTGACCGCTGGAACATCTAAAATAAAAATATTTTTCTCTCTCTCTCTTTTCTCCCCGTTTTGGGCAGCGGTCCAACAAAACAATTAGCTAAAGCAGCCGCTCAGCGCATGGGAATCCCGAACCCAGGCCCCTGCTATCTTACTAATGACCCACCTCCTCTCCTCTCCTCCTCCCCCTCTCCTCCCCCTCTCCTCCCCTGCTCCATCTCTCCTCCCCCTCTCCTCCTCCCCCTCGCCTCCCCCTCTCCTCCCCTGCTCCATCTCTCTCTCAGGACCGAGTGGGCAGCTCCTCCTCCCCCTCTCCTCTCCTCCTCCCCCTCTCCTCCCCCTCTCCTCCCCTCCTCCCCCTCTCCTCCCCTGCTCCATCTCTCTCTCAGGACCGAGTGGGCAGCTCCTCCGTGCAGCTGCAGCCTGAGCCTGAGGTGGCCAAGTTTATTTTCTACCCGGTGGTCCGGTCCTGTAGGGGTGACGTGAGGGGAGGGGGGGGGGGGGGGGGGGGGGAGGGAGTGGAGTGCCACAGGCACTGGTACTATAAAGGGAACGGGGTGCCAGGAGTGGAGTGCCACAGGCCCTGGTACTATAAAGGGAACGGGGTGCCAGGAGTGGAGTGCCACAGGCCCTGGTACTATAAAGGGAACGGGGTGCCAGGAGTGGAGTGCCACAGGCCCTGGTACTATAAAGGGAACGGGGTGCCAGGAGTGGAGTGCCACAGGCCCTGGTACTATAAAGGGAACGGGGTGCCATTAGAGTGGAGTGCCACAGGCCCTGGTACTATAAAGGGAACGGGGTGCCATTAGAGTGGAGTGCCACAGGCCCTGGTACTATAAAGGGAACGGGGTGCCATTAGAGTGGAGTGCCACGGGCCCTGGTACTATAAAGGGAACGGGGTGCCATTAGAGTGGAGTGCCACAGGCCCTGGTACTATAAAGGGAACGGGGTGCCATTAGAGTGGAGTGCCACAGGCCCTGGTACTATAAAGGGAACGGGGTGCCATTAGAGTGGAGTGCCACAGGCCCTGGTACTATAAAGGGAACGGGGTGCCAGGAGTGGAGTGCCACGGGCCCTGGTACTATAAAGGGAACGGGTGCCATTAGAGTGGAGTGCCACGGGCCCTGGTACTATAAAGGGAACGGGGTGCCATTAGAGTGGAGTGCCACAGGCCCTGGTACTATAAAGGGAACGGGGTGCCATTAGAGTGGAGTGCCACAGGCCCTGGTACTATAAAGGGAACGGGGTGCCATTAGAGTGGAGTGCCACAGGCCCTGGTACTATAAAGGGAACGGGGTGCCATTAGAGTGGAGTGCCACAGGCCCTGGTACTATAAAGGGAACGGGGTGCCATTAGAGTGGAGTGCCACAGGCCCTGGTACTATAAAGGGAAACGGGGGTGCCATTAGAGTGGAGTGCCACAGGCCCTGGTACTATAAAGGGAACGGGGTGCCATTAGAGTGGAGTGCCACAGGCCCTGGTACTATAAAGGGAACGGGGTGCCAGGAGTGGAGTGCCACGGGCCCTGGTACTATAAAGGGAACGGGGTGCCATTAGAGTGGAGTGCCACGGGCCCTGGTACTATAAAGGGAACGGGGTGCCATTAGAGTGGAGTGCCACAGGCCCTGGTACTATAAAGGGAACGGGGTGCCATTAGAGTGGAGTGCCACAGGCCCTGGTACTATAAAGGGAACGGGGTGCCATTAGAGTGGAGTGCCACAGGCCCTGGTACTATAAAGGGAACGGGGTGCCATTAGAGTGGAGTGCCACAGGCCCTGGTACTATAAAGGGAACGGGGTGCCATTAGAGTGGAGTGCCACAGGCCCTGGTACTATAAAGGGAACGGGGTGCCATTAGAGTGGAGTGCCACAGGCCCTGGTACTATAAAGGGAACGGGGTGCCATTAGAGTGGAGTGCCACAGGCCCTGGTACTATAAAGGGAACGGGGTGCCATTAGAGTGGAGTGCCACAGGCCCTGGTACTATAAAGGGAACGGGGTGCCATTAGAGTGGAGTGCCACAGGCCCTGGTACTATAAAGGGAACGGGGTGCCATTAGAGTGGAGTGCCACGGGCCCTGGTACTATAAAGGGAACGGGGTGCCAGGAGTGGAGTGCCACGGGCCCTGGTACTATAAAGGGAACGGGGTGCCAGGAGTGGAGTGCCACGGGCCCTGGTACTATAAAGGGAACGGGGTGCCATTAGAGTGGAGTGCCACGGGCCCTGGTACTATAAAGGGAACGGGGTGCCATTAGAGTGGAGTGCCACAGGCCCTGGTACTATAAAGGGAACGGGGTGCCATTAGAGTGGAGTGCCACAGGCCCTGGTACTATAAAGGGAACGGGGTGCCATTAGAGTGGAGTGCCACAGGCCCTGGTACTATAAAGGGAACGGGGTGCCATTAGAGTGGAGTGCCACAGGCCCTGGTACTATAAAGGGAACGGGGTGCCATTAGAGTGGAGTGCCACAGGCCCTGGTACTATAAAGGGAACGGGGTGCCATTAGAGTGGAGTGCCACAGGCCCTGGTACTATAAAGGGAACGGGGTGCCATTAGAGTGGAGTGCCACAGGCCCTGGTACTATAAAGGGAACGGGGTGACATTTGGGACATACAGTGCCTTCAGAAAGTATTCACACACCTTGACTTTTTCCACATTTTGTTACAGCCTGAATAAAAAATATGATTTGTTTTATTTTTATATTTTGTGTCACTGGCCTACACACAATAGCCCATAATGTCAAAGTGGAATTATGTTTCTAGACATTTTTACAAATTAATTAAAAATGAAAACCAGTCACTACAAATATACAGGCGTCCTTCCTAACTCAGTTGAGAGAGAGGGAATTCACCATGAGGCCAATGGTGATTTTAAACCAGTTACAGAGGCTGTGATAGGAGAAAACTGAGGATGGATCTACAACATTGTAGTTACTCCACAATACTAACCTAAATGACAGAGTGAAAAGAAGGAAGCCTGTAAAGAATAAAACATATTTCAAAACATGCATCCTGTTTGCAATAAGGCACTAAAGTGATACTGCAAAAAATGTGGCAAAGAAATTAACTTTTTGTCCTGAATAGAAAGCTCTTTGTTTGGGGAAAATCCAACACAACACATCACTGAGTATCACTTTTCACATTTTCAAGCATGGTGGTGGCTGCATCATGTTATGGGCATGCTTGTCATCAGTAGGGACTAGGGAGTTGTTATGAATAAAAAGAAAAGGAATAGAGTTTAGCACTAACAACGTCCTAGAATAGAACCTGGTTCAGTCTGCTTTCCACCAGACACTGGGAGACAAATCCACCTTTCAGCAGGACAATAACCTAAAACACAAGGCAAAATATACACTGGAGTTACTTACCAAGACGAAATTGAATGTTCCTTAGTGGCCTACTTACGGTTTTGATTTAAGTTGGCTTGAAAATCTATGGCAAGACTTGAAAATGGCTGTCTAGCAATGATCAACAACCAACTTGACAGAACTTGTAGAATTTAAAAAAGAATAATGGGTAAATATTGTACAATCCAGGTTTGCAAAGCTCTTCCAGACTAACCCAGAAAGACTGACAGCTGCAATCGCTGCCAAAGGTGCTTATAACATGTATTGACTCATGCGGTTGAATACTTATCTAATCCATAGTGTTATATTTTCCAATAATAAAAAAATATATACAAAATATAAAAAAAATCTTCCACTTTGACATTACGTCATATTTTGTGTAGATCGTTGACAAAAAAAGTACAATTAAATCAATTGTAATGCCACTTTGTAACACAACAAAGTTTGGAAAAAGTCAAGGGATGTAAATACTTTCTGAAGGCAGTGTATACGATCTGTCCCAGCGAGGCTGTGTGTGGGTCATCCCGCCTGTGGATCGCTACAATAACATGACACTAATAGATGGATGGGGGTTTTGTTATTACACCATGGTCCGCTCTCCTCCTCTCTGCTCTCCTCCTCTCTGCTCTCCTCCTCTCTGCTCTCCTCCTCTCCGCTCTCCTCCTCTCCGCTCTCCTCCTCACCGCTCTCCTCCTCTCCGCTCTCCTCCTCTCTGCTCTCCTCCTCTCCGCTCTCCTCCTCACCGCTCTCCTCCTCTCCGCTCTCCTCCTCTCTGCTCTCCTCCTCACCGCTCTCCTCCTCTCCGCTCTCCTCCTCTCCGCTCTCCTCCTGTCTTCTCTTTCCTCTCCTCTCCTTTGCTCTCTGCTCTCCTGTCCTATAATTATCTCTGAGTTTGCAGCTCAGGAGTGACGGTGTGTGTGTGTGTGTGTGTGTGTGTGTGTGTGTGTGTGTGTGTGTGTGTGTGTGTGTTGCGCGCTCTAGCTGCACAGTGACAACGGGCTGTCCCAGACCGGGTTTATCCGCCCTGCCTCCCGCGCCAGCGCGAGCTGCTAGCTGCATAAATATCTGTCTGCGGTGTGTAAACAGTGCTGTCATAAACCCGCGTGAACTAAACAAGGCGTCTGGAACTGGAATATGCGCCGCGCGCACGTTTACCACTTTCAAAACGGTTGACCTTAAACAATGAACTTCCAACCAACATACCTCTTCTCTTACGACACTATTACCGACATTTATTAACGTCAAAAAGGGAAGAAACCACCATGGAATAACTTTATAACTGAAACACAGGTAGGCCCTAACCAAGGCGCAAGCCATATCTCTTTCCAAAAACGAGTCGGCTTATCCATTGTTTACTTTTGTAGATAAAGAAAAACAAATAAACCTGGACATGTGCACATTTATATTTTTTTCCCCGGTGCTCGTTTCTAGAGTTTTGCGCTGTGATTTTGAGGGATTGGCAATAACCAGGGGTTATATAGCAGGAAAATAGCCTATGGCCTACAGTAACAACAAAAAGTGTCCTGTAGAATTTAAATTCCTCTTAGTCCAACTCCAACACAATGCACACTGGGGAAGAAAAGTATGCGATAACAGGCTGATATGATGAATACATTTTATTCACATAAAATCTGGCTAATTCAGATAGGCTATTGACACATGTTTCACGTGCACTTCCAACGCGGTGACTGACAACATCACCTGTAAAACAAATACTCGTGTGACAAAGTTTTATAAAGCATTTTAAGAGTATAAAAAACGTATACAAAACAGAAACACAATATGTCCTCGAACCAGCAAAGGCAACATGTGAACACTTTAAATATAAAATCAGCTTCTCTGTATGGGATCGCGTGAGAGAGCATGCGCTCTCCGGGTATTCTCACTCAATATTTGGTTTAGGAGAGATTACGTGCATTTCTGTCCATCTGAAAAAGTCAAAAAATGTATAATGTCCATTCCTTGACGGTTAATGTTAATGTCATGTCCATCCGTTACATCATGAGGTGGTTGTTCCACACAACCGGGTGGTGTTGAGCATCTCTTTCAAATCATTCTCCGGTTTACCAGCGACCATGAAAGGCCACGTCTGGAGAGAGAGAGAGAGAGAAAGAGAGAGAGATAGAGAGAGAGCGAGAGAGAGAGAGGAAATCACAAATTAACTCACTGCGTGTTACAACAACAATAGTATAACAACATTAACCAAAAAAAAAAAAAAAAAAAAATGTTTTGCTTTTACGCACAATAGGATTTTAAACGTAATCTCAATTAGCCTATCCATTTTAGACTGGGTCTAGAAAACAACTTCACACAAAACATTAGGCTTATTTTTTTCCTTGGCATCTTTCAAGTAAGCCTGACTTCTAAATATCCTAATAATAGGCCTACTTGAATAAATCTATATTCTATATGTTTTCCTCTATCCAGTCTGTAAATACTAATTGTCGAGGGTCTAAAACAACAGGGAACAATCCGAAAGCAGCCCCTGTTGTGAAATTATGAATTGGGGAATATTATTGATCGGTTATTGTGTGAATGATATAGTGCAGACCAAAGGCTATTGGGTAAACAAGAAAATGTTCCCAAGTCGCATAGGCTATTCCAAAATAGGACCATCCAAACCTCTCCAAACAAACAGAGTGAAGGCCATGCAGAAATAACCCTCCCTCACAAACTCAGCTGATCTGTTTGATTCAACGACGAGAATTCGGATCACTTTTAATTGTATCAAAGATAGACTATTAGTAGACTCAAAGATAGACTATTAGTAGACTCAAAGATAGACTATTAGTAGACTCTCTGGCTCTCTGAGTGTGTTATGTTATGTCGATGCTCAGGGAGTTTCTCCTGGCCGCTGTGTTAAATTAGCTTCTGCTCTGATTACTCTTTGGGATTTTGAGTTGTGTGGCCTGAAAACTGCTGATGTAAAAAGGAGTTAGGCCTACATTTTATTTAAAAAACGGCGGTATAAAATAAATGTGATTGATTTGAATTTGTGTGGTGTGTCTCTCACCAGGTTCACCGGGTGGATAAATCCGTTCTCGTATTTGTCGTTGGCGAGGATCTGCCGTAGATGGGCTATGTAGCTCGAGGCGAGGCGAAGTGTGTCCAGTTTGGAGAGCTTGGTGTCCGGCGGGACCCACGGTAAAGTCGTCTTCAAACGGGAAAACGCTTTGGATAGCACGCGCATCCTTGCCCTCTCCCGTGCGTTGGCCGCGTTCCTCTGCGGCTGCTTGCCACCCCCCTCGTGCGCCACGCCGTTCAGCGCCGTTTTCCTACCGGACGCTGTTTTCCGTTTCTTTCCCTTAGCTGATTTGTCGTTGGCCGAGCCGCCCTCGCAGTTCGAACTCTCCCCGGTGCTCTCGTTCGACGTACCGGAGTCTTTACCGGAAGAGCCGAACTTCAGGATGCCGTCCAGGAGCTCGTCGTCAACGTCGCTAAGCGACCCGGTGGACATGGTCGGTTATCGATCGGGGCGCGCGGCCTCAGCAGAACATGTGTGACACGGGATGGCCCGTCGAGGACGGATTGAGACTGAGGTGAGCGAGCTCGCCGGTGTGTCCTCCTACTCCTCGAGACCCAGGATTGCTCATGAACCGGAAAGACGGACCGGAGGATGTGGAGGAAACTGTAAAGCATGAGCCCTTACAGAACTGACCATTTATCTCTGTGACCGGGGGCGTGACCGCGAGGCTAGGCGAGTCACGGGGAAGGGAGGAGGGGAACTTCGAGTGATGGATGAACAATTCTACACAGCTCCAAACACAAACTTTTACAAGTGGATGCTATAGGCCTAGTGTAATAACTGAGCATGTAATAACATTTTATTTTTATGACAGTTATTATTAACATCCGACGTCAAGAAAAAAAACATATCCTTTCTGTCAGTGTAAAAACACAGAACAAAGACCCTATGCAGCTTATTACACACGAGACTCAATTAAGGAAAATGCATCAATACTTGCTCTTTATATTTCAAGAAACTTCCCAGAGTGAAATCACTGAACGTTATCCATTGGGACGTTTAATAGAAGATATTTCGCTAAGAGCCTAAATGTGGACCTACATTTCTTTTGAACTATGAAATAATGAACTAAAGAGTAAAAATATAGGGTACTTTTAGGTTATAGGCTACGTTAATTCACTCAACGAAATACAGTAATTTTTTTCGTAACCTAAGAACAATTACATATGCATTGGCTGTTTGTAAAAATAAATATCCACTACAATATGGATATATTGTGGCCTATAAATGAATCAAGTCATTTCCAAATGGATTGGATACATGTTACATCACCAAAGGTCTATATTCTTAATTATTGTCTTATTTCCGCTTGCATTAAAATAGGAAAATAGGCCCTTTTCAATAACTTTTAAATTAAATTAAAAGTTTGATAATTTTGAATTAATTATTATTATTATTATTATTATTATAGTTGTCATTATGATTGTTATTATTTTTATTATTATTATAGTTATTATTATTATTATAGTTATTATTATTATTATTATTATTATTATAGCTATTATTATAGTTTTATTATTATTATATTATTATTATAGTTATTGTTATTTTTATTATTATTGTAATTATTGTTATTATTAGGCTATAATGGTAGCCTATTGCTACATTTTAAGATCATAGGCCTACATTAAGGACAACTATGCACGTTTTCTAAATGTCCCTTGTATAGCCTGCAGCAGGTGTTTCCTACTTACTGATCATATCATCTAGCCTACATTACATTCCACAACAGCTCAGTTGGTAGAGCATGGCGCTTGCAACACCAGGGTTGTGGGTTCGATTCCCACGGAGGAGGAGGAGGGGGGGGGGGGCAAGTATGAAGAAGAAGAAATAATGTATGCACTCACTAACTGTAAGTGGCTCTGGATAAGAGCGTCTGCTAAATGACTAAAATGTAAAATGTAAATGACAGATTATGGATGTGTCCAAGCCCTGGTCAAAAGTAATGCATGTAGAGAACAGGGTGGCATTTTGGACACAGCCGATCATCAACCGACCTTAGGGACAACCTGGCGACTTTCAGCACCACTGGCTGCCCCTTAATGGGATAGCAGAACGAGGTGGGGGGGGGGGGGGGGGTGTAATAGATACCGGGGCTCCCTGGAACCCACAAACCGCTGTTCGGCCTCAGACGTCATTCCACACCGATTCCCCCCAAATCCTCTACCGGTGGAGACAAAACAAAAGGCATTATGGGCCGCGGATAAGTGGGAAGGGAGCGCAAACCCGACTGATGATGGGAGGAACTCACGCGCAGGCAGGCTGCGACCTCGAGGATCATTCACTGTCCATTCCTAACCTCTAAACCCTGTGTTCCATTCTTCAAGATCTGAAGTGGGCTCGCTCATCCTCTCGACCAATCAGTGCCCCCTGATTTATTCATACTGTTGCAATTTTCTTTTTGTGGATTTTGTTCAAGGCTTTATGTTGAAATTGTGTGTGTGGTGTGTGTGTATTTGTGTGTGTGTGTGTGTGTGTTACAGCAGAGGTGTGTGTATGAGGAAAGGTGGTGTGTCTCTAGAGACTTGACCTCTAACCTCTAACCCCTGTCTTCCACTGTGCAACCAAACAGCTCCACCAATGTAACCTCTGAGATATGTAAACACATAACAACCACTAAACTATAAAAACACACACTATAGACAATGACTGTGTCCCCAATGGCACCCTAACCCCTCTATTTAGTGCACTACTTTTGACCAGGGACCATAGGACACTATGTAGGTAATGAAAGAGAGGAGAGGTAGGAAGAGACAACAGAGAGAGGAGAGATAGGAAGAGGCCATGAGAGAGAAGAGAGATAGGAAGACGCCATGAGAGAGAGGAGAGATAGGAAGAGGCCATGAGAGAGAAAGAGATAGGAAGAGCATCGAGATGAGAGAGAGAGATAGAAGAGACCATAGAGAAAGAGATATGGAAGACGCCATGAGAGCGAGGAAGAGTAGGATAGAGGCCATGAGAGAAGAGAGATGATAGAAGAGACACTGAGAAGAGGAGATATAGGAAGAGGCATGAGAGAGAGAGAGATAGGAAGACGCCATGAAGAGAGATAGATAGGAAGAGCCATGTAGAGAGAAGAGAGATAGGAAGAGACAATGAGAGAGAGGAGAGATAGGAAGAGGCCATGAGAAGAGAGAAGATAGGAAGAGACAATAGAGAGAGGGAAGAATGAGGAAGAGGGCCATGAAGAGAGAAGAGAGATAGTAAGAGACATGAGAGAGAGGAGAGATAGAAGTAGCCATTGAGAGAGAATAGATAGGTAAGAGGCCATGAAGAGAGAGAGATAGGAAGAGGCCATAAAGAAGAGAAAGATATAGAAGACCATGAAGAGATGAAGAGAGAAGAGCCATAGAGAGAGAGAGAGAGATAGGAAGATACCAGAGAGTAGAGTGAGAGATAGGATAGTCCATGAGAGAGAAAGATAGAAAGTGCCATTATGAGAGAGAAGATAGATGAATCAGGGAGGCCAGAGAAAGGGAGAGCGGTGAGGGAGAGAGAGATAGATAGATATACATATAGAGCGAGAGAGCGAGAGACAGTGCCGAGATTGAGAGAGAGAGAGAGAGAGAGGGATGGTAAGAGGTGGAGGGGGAGAGAGAGGGGTAAAGATTGCGGGAGTGGGAGTGAGGGAGAGAGACATAGAGCGAGCGAGAGCGAGGGAGGAATGTCTGGTGGGTGGGCTGAAAATCAAAGCTCTGTGATGAATAATAGAGTTAGTTAGATTGATGATCACCTCTGAGTTAGATACATCCACTGGGACAGACTGAAATAGCAGTCATTTAGTGTGTGTGTGTGTGTGTGGCGAGGGGTGAATTGCAATTTCATTTCCACTTATCTAATGTGCACTCACTGTATCGAGTCGACTGTAAAATGTGCTTTTTTTTTTAGGGGGTAAATCAGCTTTAATATTGCAGATAGATTGTGGCTTCCATCAATGTAATTGTCTGCATCATTTCCAATGCCCCATAATTTTTTTTACAAATATATTTTCCTTTATTATTTTCCCCTAACGCTACTATCCCTGGCCTACTTTGAGTGAAATGTTATTAAACGAAGAGACGTTTTGATAGGTTGAGAGACAATAACAGATATAAAAATGTTTTGTTTCTTTAGATCAGCGATGGGGGTGGGGCCACAAAGAAAGAAGACGTTTACATTTTAAAGTTCATTTCCTGCCATTCTACACATTTTGCCTTGGGGCATTTTGCAGTTTCATAACTAATTTCCTGCAATTCTACACATTTTGATATAGGGTGGAGGCCAATGTTATCAGTTTTTAATACGATAAGTAATTCGACCGTGCTTACTACGAGTTTAGATAGCTGGCCGCTAGACTCTACATGACTGATGATGCACTTTTAGAAATTGCACCTTGTAAAATAATTAAAAGACTAAAATAACATTTGCCTACAAAAGCCACCAGTTGCCCAAACCTGCTTTACATAAAACATTATCTAATAAAACTCCTGGTTTCCATTCAAGCTCCATGAAGTTAGTAGTCTACAGTAGTGGTGATCCTAAAGTGATGATTCAGTAATAAACTCCTGGTTAGTAGTCAACACTTTTACATCTAACACCATGCAGTGGCACACACACACACACACACACACACACACACACACACACACACACACACACACACACACACACACACACACACACACACAAACAAACTACTCAGAGTGCTGCTTGCAGCTATCAAATAAATAAACCCAGAGGATAAATAAATAACCGTGAAATAATTACAGTGAAATGCTTACTTACAGCCCTTAACCAACAAATGTATTTATTTTTTAATACAAAAAGTAAAATAAAACAACAACAACAAAAAAGTGTTGAGAAAAAATAAATAATCATTTGTAATTATTTGTATTTATTATGGATACCCATTAGTTACTGGCTTGGCAGGAGCTACTCTTCCTGGGGTCCGGCAAAATTAAGGCAGTTATACATTTAAAAAAAACATTACAATACATTCATAAAAGATTTCACAACACACTAAGTGTGTGCCCTCAGGCCCTTACCGGCCACTAGGGAAAACGATGAGCTCTATTACTTCTAGTAGGTTTTGGTTTTGCTAGGTTGTTATGGGGGGGATGGTAGATGGGCGTAAACCATCTGCCTCTGATTCTAAATGTTACATGTTTGAATCCAGCGATAGAAAGTTGTTTTTGATATTTTTGTTTTAAGCCTATCCCAAACCTTAACCCTAACCTTAACCATTCGGAGTTAATGCCTGATACCTTAATACCTTAATATCTTAATACCTGGGATAGGATAAAGTAATCCTTCTACCACCCCCCCCCCCCCCCCCCCCCTTACCCCCAACCCACCCCCCACCCCCAAAAAAAAACAAACAAAAAAACATTGTAAAGTGGTTATCCCACTGGCTATAAGGTGAATGCACCAACTTGTAAGTCACTCTGGATAAGAGCTTCTGCTAAATGACGTAAATGTAATGTAAATGTAAATGTAATGCCTAAACCTAACCTTAAACACTTCAAAATTTGACGTTTGGTACATGTTTCGAAATTTGACGTTTGAAAAACATGGATGAACGTCTTATTCTGACGTGAGACTGTGAGAGCTGGTAGGCCA